TGTTGGTGGGTGTAGCCTGAACAGGGAAACCATGGGGCTCCTTTAAAGAGGAAATGGTGCCTCAATTTACATATCTGTTGGGATAAAAGAGCCCTCAGTGCATTGACTTACAGATTTCTTCACACTTATTTTTCACAGATGATTTTCCAATGATGTTCCAGTCCTAAGAACTGTCATGTGTTTTATTGTGAGTGCATAGGAGAAAGGGCAGGTTTACACTCGAGGAACTAAAGCAAGATCTGAGAGAAGCTCCTCATTTCAAAGGAAGGGTTCCAAGGGGGAGATGTAAATCATGCACTGAAAATTCCTTCAATAGCCATGTTCGAGTGAACATGAACAGGATGGCACATCTGGGTTCAGAATGCTTGCTCCACAATTGTTCCCTTGGCATGTTCTTTTGAAGAAACCCAAAACAATAATTCAAACCAAGCCATAAGACACAATTTGTAAGCCAAACCTGAATGACACATACAGAACCTATTGTCCATGTTGGAATCAAAGAAATCATATTCGAAGCCTGTGGGGCGTTCCTTTATAGTTTCGTTTTTAAGTCTGCAATTCCATGGAATTCATAGATTGGTGGTTTTGTGGTTGTGATTTTGTATGCTCTTCTTATCTGCACAGACTTGATTGATCAAGATGGACAACTCTAAAGAATGAAACAATAATATTGACAAAATAGTACTGACAATCATAATACTAATGCCAATCCTATAAAAATGTCCCCAGTACATTCATTCCATGAACTGAGAAAAACAGATAAATCATTTTGCATTTTCCAAAGAATTCAGGTTCTTCTATATTTAGCAAAGCACATCTGTTGTCAACTCATATATGTCTTCATGGTGAAGAATTTAGCCTCTTGAAATGTAAAATTTTCTTGAGATCTTTTCAGTGAATTCTTAAGAAAATAAGAGTAGATATAATGATGGGTCCAAAATGAGACAATGCCTGTAGACATTTCCTTTATGTCCCTACCCCACCCCCACCTTGCACATATGGAACATGAGTCAGTGTGAGAACACCGCCCCCTGGTGGACAGAATGGGGAGGGGAGGCATCTACTTAACTTTTCCATCAGATTCTTGCATTCAGGAATGGTAATTGGGGCTGAGAAGAAATGAAAATTCTCCAGGAGATCTAAGTAGGTTTAAAGAGCAATCAAAAGCTGATCTTCTGTTACCTGAGAGGAAATCTCTTCTGAAGGGTTAGGAATGACAGAGTGTGCTCCCTGTGGGTGGAGAATTCTTATTTTTTCCTATATATCTCATCAAATCATGGAAGAAATTAATTGGGAAAGGGCATCTAGGTCATCTAATGGAAAGCACCCCTGACAGGTGAGCTGTCTACATATCTCCAACCAAAAGAGGCTGTTCTGGACATATCAAAGTGGGGCTGCCTGTTTTCTCCCTCATCCTTCTTTTTCTCTAGGCAGACCAGATAAGCAGGGTTGATCATTTGTCACAATCTGCTCTGTAATAGTTTTGCATTCTTTTGATAGGATAATAATCCTTATCATTTCTTGTCCATCTTCCATCATTAATGTGGAACGAATGAAAAAGGAGCAACAGATAGAAAAGAACTAAACTGAGGCGGGTTTTTGATATTGAGAGAATGAATGGCTATTGAACTGCAAAAATCATATGCTAAGGAATAAGTATAGGTAATGAAACCATATGTCTACCTCGAATGAAATTTTAACATTTTTTGTAATGGTTCCCAGTCTATTATCCTGTCCTGAAATTTCCTTCTTGTCCCCCAACCAAGTGCTAATGAAGTTCCCAACTGCCTCTTCCGAAATCACCTCTGGGGTCCCACTTGCTATGGTGGAGATTTATCTGCTTCTTCTCTTTCCAGTTACACAAATTCAACCTTCTGTGACTCAATCGGAGAAGCTTGGAGAGCTGCTCAAGGAAGAGAAGGTTCTTGCTTGGCTTCAGATTCACGTCCTCTCACTGTGTCTCTTGTACAGTAATAGACCGCCATGTCTTCTGCTTTCAGGTTGTCCATTTGCAGATAAAGCTGGCTGCGAGAATCATCCCTGGAGGTGGTGAACCCTCCTGTGACTTTATCTGAGTAGTAAATTGGAGATGAGGCTGTACTCATGTAGGGCCCCATTTGAATCCTTTCCCTACACATTGTGTCATCCACGTGCATCCCATTGTTGCTGAAGGTGAATCCGGAGGCTGGAGGGAATCCAGGTCTTCTCATGTCCCCTCCAGACTCCACCAGCTTGACCTCAGTTTGGACACCTAGAAAGAAAGGTGTTTTAATGAGCTCTTCTGTACACAAGAACAAAAACATGGAAGGAAATTCTACAGAGAGGGAACAATTACCTCTCAGGACTGCTAGGAAAGGCACCAAGTTCAGCCACAGGATCATTTTTATTCTCTCTAATGAATGGAGGGAAATTGATTAGAAAGGATTCAGGAGGGTGCACAAACTTTTTGTTGGTGTGTGTAGCCTGACAAGGGAAACTATGGGGCTCCTTTAAAGAGGAAATTGTGCCCTGATTTACATATTGCTTTGGGTAAAAGAACCCCTCATTTCATTGACTTATAGATTTCCTTCCATGTAGCTTTCACACAGGATTTTGAAATTATGGGAAAATCCTCAGAATAATCAAGCAAGTCTTTTTTTCTTATTATCAGAACATACAAGAAAGGACAGGGTTACATGAGAGTAATTAAAGCAAAATATGATAAAACCTCAGCTGTTCATCAAAGTGTTTAAAGATCAAAGAAAGAAAACATGCACTGAGAATATTTTAAAGAGCTGTGTTAGACAATGAACATGAAAAGGATGCCACATATGACTTCAGGACACTGGCTCCACAACTTGCACCTTGACCATGTTCTTCTGAAGAAACCCAAAACAAGTGAATGCAGGACAAGCCCTAATTCATGATTTGTAAGGCACAGTGGAGTTACACTTACATGTCCAAGTTGCAGAGTCAGAAGGAAAGAAATCAAGGCAAAGTAGAAATACCTGATCCTGCAGGGTCTTCTTTGTTTTATTAGATTGGTTTTAACTCTTCAGTAGGGGGACGCAGTGGCGCAGCGGCTTAATGACGCTGAAAGTTGCCTGCCAGAAATGGTCGACACTTCAGCAGTTCGAGCCCAGCCTTCGCGTT